TGGTGCTGCTCCTCCTCCTCCTCCTCCAAGGTGCTTCTGCAGGCCCGCGGCTGGCCAGGGCATGCATGGCGCCCAGACCCTCCGTGACCACCCTAGCAACATCTCCGGCCAGCCCCAACTCCCTAGTGCCCAGGCGCCCAGAGTCATCATTCACTTACTTACTCCAAGCCTGCTCACTCAGAGTGTGAAGGTAGCAGGATATCTGGGTTATGACTGTGGAACTCAGTTGTCAAGCACTGCCCCCATGCCTGGTTCTGTGCGCTGAGCAGGGAGATGCAGTAAAGGAAGCTGTCTGGGCACAGAGGGTGCTCCTGCTCACGAGAGGGGGAAGGCGCATGGAAGGCTTCTCAGAAGTGCCATCTGAGCCCACGAGTAGACAAGAGAGGGCTGGCCCAGAGCCACTGGTTCCCCAGCGTACTTGTCATTACCCATTCTCCCTCCGGGGAGGGTGTCACATCACTGTCCATGCCCATCTGGTCTGGCTGGCCCTGAGCACTCCTTGTTGGCCTGTGGAACTCCTCCTCAGCCCTGAAAACCCAGCTCAGGCCTTTCTGCTCCAGGGAACCCCTGTGGACTCCCTCTGGGCCTGGAACAGAGGAGAGTATTGCTCTTTCTTTCTTGCCTCCCTGCACCCCACTAAATTGGGAGCTTGTGAAGACCAAAGAGTGATGCTGATTCTACCCTGGCCTCCCAGCCCCTAGCAGAGGCTGGCTCAGGGCAAGGGCACTCTGAGCACATGTAGACTTGGGCGTGACCTGGATAGTTCCCTTGTCAAGTTGTACTTGCTTTTCTTTTCCCCTGTGACAACTTAAGACTTGAACAGGTGGTTTTTCTGAGGATACTCCCAGCTCTAAAATGTATAAACTGAACTAGGTGCTCAGTTCTCATGGTCTTGTCAGTGTGTGTGCACACCCATGTACAGGGTCTGATTAGAGGTAGGATGAAGAGGGCTATTTGATTTCTTTGAAAAAAAAAGTATGTTTCAGCAAACCCTGTGAACTTCCTGGTGGGCAGTGGGAGGCTTGGGGACTCATTTCACACCCAAGCCTGGCCTCTCTCCCTCAGGTCACCCTGAGACTGAACGGTGGCTGGGCGAAGGGTAAACTCATCTAGATTACCTGTTTTGCATCATTTTTACCTCCATTCCACGCCCAGCAGGCTTCCAGGCTTCTTAGTATGCTTTTTTCTTCCTTTGAACCTTTTCTTTCTTTCCTTCCTTTCCTTTTTCCTTTGTATTGAAGTGTAGTTGATTTACAATGTTGTGTTAGTTTCAGGTGTACAACAAAGTGATCCAGTTATAAATTTACATACATGTATTCTTTTCCATTAGAGGTTGTTACAAGATATGAATATAGTTCCCTGTGCTAGATAGTAGGTCCTTGTTGTTTATCTGTTTTATATGTGGTAGTGTCATCTGTTAATCCCAAATTCCTAATTTATCCCTCCCTCCCCCACTCCTTTCCCCTTTGGTAACCATAAGGTTTCTGTATCTGTGAGTCTTATTTCCAGTTGCTTTCATTTGTTTATAAGTACAGAAGTAGCAGTTGGAAAATAAAGTAACGAACACCTCTGCGCCCCTCAGTGCACAGAATTGAAAGTCACCCAATATGGTTGCTTCAAGTAATTTCAGTGTAAAAGAACTAGAATATTACAGATAGAGTTAAAGGCCCTTTTATTCCCCATCTTTGGTGCTATTAAAAACTTACTGTCCACTTAGAAACAGTTGGGAAAAAAAAAACGTAAATTCAAAACAGAAATAGACTCATAGACATAGAACACAAACTTGTGGTTGCCAAGGGGGAGGGAGGTGGGAAGGGACAGATTGGGAGTTCGATATTTGTAGATACTGACAGACATATGTAGAATAGATATATAAGATTATACGATATAACACAGGGAAATATATACAAGATCTTGTGGTAGCTCACAGTGAAAAAGAACGTGACAATGAATATATGTATGTTCATGTATAACTGAAAAATTGTGCTCTACACTGGAATTTGACACAACATTGTAAAATGACTATAAATCAATAAAAATGTTTAAAAAAAAGAAACTGTTGAAAAGGTAAATTTTATGTTATGTATATTTTATCACAATAAAGAACTTTAAAAAACCCAAACGGTTAATTTAGGCCAAGTCAGAGTATGAACACAAGGGTCTCCCCACTTGGTAGCCTGTGTTCCCCTGTCCTGGAGCTTCTAATCATGGACATAGCACTCTCCCACTTGCTCCCGGCCCCGGCTTCCTTATCCACCGTCAGTGGCCCCGCTGTCCTCCCAGGACTTGGCCATGGTCCTTAACGTGTCCCCTGCCCCTCCCCACACCAGTCAGCTCTGCTGCTCCACCCCCGGTAAATCCCCGCTCCTCCAGTTTCCTTACCCACAGGTCCTCCCTGCCACCCTCTTTAAGTCTCCCACAGGCCATTCTCCACACAGCAGCTCATCCCCACCCCTGCTCAGAGTCCCCTGACTGCTGCCTTCATGCTCAGAAAAAGCGCAACCCAGGCCCCAGCTCCTGGCCCCGCCAAGACCTCTTTGCTGTCCAGCCTCTCCTTCCCCTCCAGCCCCTTTATGTCTTCCTCTCCTTCCCCAGCACCACCAAGTGGTCTTGTTCTTCAGTCTTCTAACCACTTCATTCTTTTAGTTGCTCACTGCTCACGGCACTGCCCAGCACAAGGAGCCCTGCCAGCCAGCTCCTGTGTCCCGACTCGTTCCGATCCGCTCCAAGTGCCCCTGCCTTCACCCCCACAGGCCACCCCAGAACCGGAGCCACCTGCTTCTCCTAGGGGCCAGCCTTCCCTTCCATGGATACTAGGCATGGTCCCTTCTGTGGCCTCTTGTTTTCATTTTCTTTCTGGTTACGTCAACCTTTACACGATTCAGAGGTTGAAACCTGCTCAGCCAGGCCTGTCCTCACCTTGGCCCCATCTACCCCGTGCTGGGACCAATTCCATCGTTTCCGCCACATACTTCCTAACGTCCCCACCTTCTCTCACACACACAGCAGCCTGCAGTAGGTATTGTTCACGTCCCAGTAGGCCCTAGGAATCCGTCCCCTCCTCCATCTGCCCCACTCTCTGTGGGGTGGGTGTGTTCAGGTGGCAGTTGTCTCAGACATCTGCAGTCTCAGGCTGTAGAAAACAATGATCTTGTTTGCCATTTCTACATGTTGTCTGTTCAAGGTAGATGTTTAGATGGGATTGCCCAACATGGCCTCGACACCCTCACTGGTATCTAAGAGGCATTCCTGGGACATGTGGTTTGTACTTTACTTAACCGTAGTTAACATGCTGGGTAATGCAGACGAGAGTTCTGAAGAAGCCAGGTCTTTTGCCACCGGTGCAGTGTGTTTCTCTGACTCCGGGCTGTCCAGCTTCTAGGGAGCCTGTGGCTCCAGTCTGTCTGCTGCTGTGCTGCTGGCAGGCTCCCCCTCTCCCCTCTGTGACAGTGGACTGCGGGCCACACCTCGCTCCCCACGGTTCTCCTCATTTCCCATGAGGAAGCTAAGACTGGGAGAATTGAAAAGTAAGCTCTGTGCTGGAACAGGTTAGGGACCCCCGCTTTACAGCAAGAAAGGGTCTTTCTGTGGGCAGTGGCCTGATTCTGGGTGATCCCACCAGCCACACTCGGGGCCCTAAACTGCTGGAGGAAGAGCCAGGACCTGTCTCCCCTCTCCTGACCTCATGCGCTGAGTGTTCTGCTAACTCAGCCTTGGTGCCTTACCCATGTCATTGGAGTCTGGTTTCCCAGGCCCGCCGCAGTGCCTTTCTTGTAGTCTCCATGGTGTGGACAAGAAGGGAAGTCACTTGGGGTCGACAGGAGGCCGTGATCAGTGCTGACAGGAGCCACGCAGACCAGGGCGGCTCTCGGGCTGAGGACAGGAAGGGTCTTGCTCTTCTCCAGGAGGAGCTGCTCACTGAGGGGCTCGCAGACACCTGATTCCCAGCCCACGACCCTTCCTTCCACGCCCCACCCCCTGCCCAGGTTGTGTTCTTACCCTCTGGGCCCAGTCACGAAAGCATCAGGGCCAGACTATGACGCTGGGATCCAGGGCCGCCCAGTGACCATTTCTCAAATACATGGGAAGGGACCCTACCAGGCAGGATCAAAGTGTAGGGAGGGAGCTGCTCCGTCAACAAGAAGGAATGGGGACGCGGCTGCCCTGGGATGGGGAGACTGCTCTTCTGCACCTTCTCCGCGCTCTCCCCCCGCGTTGTAAGGGAGAGTGTGGAGATAAAGGCTTACCCAATCTGGGGTTGCTGCTTTTCTCACGCCAGAACCCTGGGCAGCGATGTCTGGTTGCCCACGTTGGCCAGTCTTTATACGGTACCTCTGTAACACTTCTCTCTCCATGGTGTTGGCACCCGTCGTCGAGATGAGGAAACTGAGGCACAAGATGTTGAGGTTACACACTCAGGTCTGTTTGGAAATGGCTGAGTCAGGACTTAAGCTCAGGTTGCCCCCAAGTCTGCGTGTTTTTCTACAGCACCGCACTGTGCACCACCTCCCAAGGGCGGTGTGGGGCTGTTCCCATCAGCACGTTGTACTGTGCTGTTTGATTGAGCACACGTTTGAGAAAACCGCAAGCCCAGAAGCTGTAGTAACACCCAAGCCAGGCCTTCATGAAGAGGAGCCCCACCTCCCACAATCCAGGGCCTTTTGTCATCCGTCAAAGCCAGAGGCCCTCGGGCACAGCTCATAAAGCTGAGCAGCCACACAGTATTTCTACTCTCAAAATGCCACCTGTGCAGTCCCGCTACGAGTAGGGCTCAGGGTGGCCACAGCCTAGGTAGGATGCATTGGCCACCGCCATCAGCAGTCCAGGGGCTCTAAAGAAATCCAAAGAGGCAGAACCCCCAGGTCTAGGTGAGCGCTGACATGGCAGCCCCCATCTCCTGGGGCCCTGTGTGTGCTGGGGCGCCCTGGGTCTGCCGTTGCTCACTTTTCGGCAAACCGGTGTGGTCTTTGTGATACTTACATACTTGTTTAACACTTCAGGGAAGAAAAATCAGAAGAACAGGATCTCCAGGGCCTCAAGGACAAACCTTTGAAGTTTAAAAAGGTGAAGAAGGATAAGAAAGAAGACAAAGAGGGCAAGCATGAGCCCTTGCAGCCACCGGCCCACCACTCTGCTGAGCCAGCAGAGGCAGGCAAAGCAGAGACCTCAGAAGGGTCGGGCTCAGCGCCAGCCGTCCCAGAAGCTTCTGCCTCCCCGAAACAGCGGCGCTCCATCATTCGTGACCGGGGACCCATGTATGATGACCCTACTCTGCCTGAAGGTTGGACCCGAAAGCTTAAGCAAAGGAAATCTGGCCGCTCCGCTGGGAAGTATGATGTGTATTTGATCAAGTAAGTAAGGGCACCTCCTGTCTACAGAGCAGGAAGGGCCAGGGGGGCGGGAGGCCGGGGATGGGGATCCCTTGGAAGGATGGCTCTTTGCTACTCATTGATCAGGAAAATGTGTGTGCATAACCCCACATCGAGTCGGGGGCTTCAGTAATGACGACTGCTTGCAGGCACGACAAGGTATGCTTGAAATGACTGTGTACGTGGGTCACTGCCCTGAGTGAGATGTGCATGGGGTAGCAAAGTGTGGCTTCACTGCGCCAGCCTTCAAAGCCTCGTCTGGAGATGGAATAGCAGTAGGGCATACCCGGGGCCACAGTGAGGACACCGGGAGAGGTCACCTGGGAAGCACTAAGGGCACAAGGTCCTGCCCAGGCTGGACCCAGAGGCCCTGGGGCCTGCCATGGGCACTGCCCTGGGCTGGGGAGGCCAGGAGAGCTCCCTGAGGTTGCTGCCATTTCCCAGCTGAGGGGCTCTTCTCACCACCTGTTAATGTCTTCTTTCTGGGAGTCGTTCTGTGGCATTGCTTCATGAACCCAAAGAAATGGGAGTTCACAGGGCTCAGTCTGCTCTGTGAACCGTGTTGGGAAAGGTGGCCTTTCTGACAGGACCTCTGGAGAGTGACCCAAAGGGGTTCCATGTGCCTTTCCAGCTGTCCGTTTTGCATTTGTCCAGCTCTGGGCTGCTTGTTGGGTGCTGTCTGTTGAAACAGTGTAACTTCCAAGCCAGAGCCTCAGAGAAGGAGTCTGAACATGTGCATTTCAGTTCTGCCCTTTAGATGATTCCGAAAAGGTTAGCAGTTTACAGCAGATGCTTGCTGAATTTAATTCCAGCAACTCAGAGGAAGATGAGAAAAGCATTATCCCATTGTCCAGTTGGGAAACTGAGTCCCAGAGAGGCTAAGCCGCAAGACTGAGTTTAGACAAGAGCTCTGGGCACCAGCCAGCAGAATGGGCTCCAGCCTGATGGCCAGACAGGGTCCCCAGGCCAGACCCCTTTGGGGTCAGAGAAGGGGCCTCAGTGGCAGGCAGTTCTTCAGGGACATCCGGGCGGCAGCCATGGAGTAGCCAGCACCAAGTTGTTCTGGCAACAGAGCCAGCCAGGCCGGTGCCCACTGCTGTTGGGCCACCCAGTTGCTTCATGTATAAACGGGGCCAGGTCCCCCCTAGATGAGCTCATCTCAGCTTTTCTCACATGTGATTCTTGTTCAGTTTGTGTCATCGGGCATGTCAGTTGCAGAACGTCTTCTGCCAGAGAGTTTGCTACCTCCTCCTCCTGTGCCCTGTCTCCGACATTGCTGTGGAAGCTTCTGATCAGTCTTTGTGTCTCTCCATTTGTTCCCACAGTCCCCAGGGAAAAGCCTTTCGCTCTAAAGTGGAGTTGATTGCATACTTCGAAAAGGTAGGCGACACCTCCCTGGACCCTAATGATTTTGACTTCACGGTAACTGGGAGAGGGAGCCCCTCCCGGCGAGAGCAGAAACCACCTAAGAAGCCCAAATCTCCCAAAGCTCCAGGAACTGGCAGAGGTCGGGGACGCCCCAAAGGGAGCGGCACCACGAGACCCAAGGCAGCAGCATCAGAGGGCGTGCAGGTGAAAAGGGTCCTGGAGAAAAGTCCCGGGAAGCTGCTCGTCAAGATGCCATTTCAGGCTTCTCCAGGGAGCAAGACCGAAGGGGGTGGGGCCACCACATCGGCCCAGGTCATGGTCATCAAACGCCCTGGCAGGAAGCGAAAAGCTGAGGCCGACCCACAGGCCATTCCCAAGAAGCGGGGCCGAAAGCCAGGCAGTGTGGTTGCAGCCGCTGCCGCCGAGGCCAAGAAGAAAGCCGTGAAGGAGTCTTCCATCCGGTCCGTGCAGGAGACCGTGCTCCCCATCAAGAAGCGCAAGACCCGGGAGACGGTCAGCATCGAGGTGAAAGAGGTGGTGAAGCCCCTGCTGGTGTCCACCCTCGGCGAGAAGAGCGGGAAGGGACTGAAGACCTGCAAGAGCCCCGGGCGGAAAAGCAAGGAGAGCAGCCCCAAGGGGCGCAGCGGCAGCGCCTCTTCGCCCCCCAAGAAGGAGCACCACCACCACCACCACCCCTCGGAGCCCCCGAAGGCGCCCGTGCCGCTGCTCCCGCCCCCGCCCCCGCCCCCGCCCGAGCCGCAGAGCTCTGAGGACCCTGCCAGCCCCCCTGAGCCCCAGGACTTGAGCAGCAATGTCTGCAAAGAGGAGAAGATGCCGAGAGGAGGCTCGCTGGAGAGCGATGGCTGCCCCAAGGAGCCAGCTAAGACTCAGCCCGCGGTCGCAACCGCCGCCACGGCCGCAGAAAAGTACAAACACCGAGGGGAGGGAGAGCGCAAAGACATTGTTTCATCCTCCATGCCAAGGCCAAACAGAGAGGAGCCTGTGGACAGCCGGACGCCCGTGACCGAGAGAGTTAGCTGACTTTACACAGAGCGGATTGCAAAGCAAACCAACAAGAATAACGGCAGCTGTTGTCTCTTCTCCTTATGGGTAGGGCTCTGACAAAGCTTCCCGATTAACTGAAATAAAAAATATTTTTTTTTCTTTCAGTAAACTTAGAGTTTCGTGGCTTCAGGGTGGGAGTAGTTGGAGCATTGGGGATGTTTTTCTTACCGACAAGCACAGTCAGGTTGAAGACCTAACCAGGGCCAGAAGTAGCTTTGCACTTTTCTAAACTAGGCTCCTTCAACAAGGCTTGCTGCAGATACTACTGACCAGACAAGCTGTTGACCAGGCTTCTTAGGGTACGCCTGCACCTCCCCTCCCACCCAGACCTCCCCCTGTGTGGTCGTTAGGGACAGAGAGCCGTTGAGAGGACACTCCTGTTTTTGGTGCCATTGGTGCCCCAGTCTCAGCTCTCCTCCCCCCCCCACCTTGCCCTGCCTCCAGCTCCCCCAACCTCCCCCATGCCCACCCACATCGGGACAAGGAGGCATGAGGCGAGACAGACAGTTGGATTCTTTAGAGAAGATGGAGATGGCCAGACGGTATAGCCCGTGTGATCCCACCTGTGGTGGCACTGATGTGGCCCCACACCAGACCCAATCCAAAACCGACAAGGACATTTCACATGACAGGGAAGGAGCACCTGTCCGCCCCAGTCATGGCATGGCTAGGAGGAGGGAGGCATCCTTTGAGCTGCTTGGGTATAGGCTGGCCTGAGCCAGAGGAGAGGAGGGCCCCGGGCCGTCCTCCCGTGGGTGGCGGTAGAGAGAGGCCAGGAAGGCAGCAGGAGAGGCCCCGGCAGGTTGGCCCGGGCTCCAGACAGCCGAGCACCCGGGGCAGAAGGGATTCCTAGTCGCTCAGAGCAGGTGTGGCTGATAGAGCCTTAGAGGATGGGGCAGGGGGCCGGGGGAAGGAGGGGAGAATGTTCTTCCAAAACTTTCCAATTCTAACTCCTTTAGGGACAGCTTAGAACTATTTGCACTATTGAGTCTTCATGTTCCCACTTCAAAACATGCTCTGAGAGCAAACTGGCTTGAATTGGTGACACTTTGTCCCTCAAGCCACCAGACGTGATGGTGTTGAGAACTACCTGGATGTGTATATACCTGCGCTTGTTTTCAAGTGGGCTCAGCACATAGGGTTCCCACGAAGCTCCGAAACTCTAAGTGTTTGCTGCAATTTATAAGGACTTCCTGATTGGTTTCTCTTCTCTCCTTCCATTTCTGCCTTCTTTCACTTCAGCCTTTCATTTCTTCCCCTCCTCCTCCTTGCTCATCCCTTCTGTTCCAGGCAGCTGCAGTGCCCCACTGTACCCCAGGCTGACACCAGTCAGCTCAGGCCCTGGAACTTACTGCTCCCCTACCTTGGCCTTCCCGCCGTCAGCCCCAGCCCCCCTCCCACCCCGTTCTGAGCCCTGAGGAAGCCCCAGGCTCTGCTGAGTCCCCCTGGCCCTTGCTCTTCAGCCTCTCTGAAGGGCAAGGGAGCAGCCAGGCCATGCTCCCTAAGAGTCCCCTTCTCCGGTCAGACCTCGGATCCCGAGCCTTCTCAACCTTCCACTCAACAGAGGTGGGTGGGAGGAAGTGGGCCGAATTTTAATATGGAAGCCAGGGGCAGCACAGAGACCCACTGTAGCCTGCCAGAGTCATTGAGTGGCCCAGCCCCGACCTTGGCCTCGGCCAGACCTGGCTAGCGCGGGGCGGGGCGGCAGGGCAGCGGGTAGAGCAGGTGCAGACGCCCCCCTGCCACTCCTCTAAGTGCAGATTCTTGTCTGCTGGACCCCATTGGGCCTCTGCTTGCTGGAGACTGGGTGGGGCCAGTACCTCACAAGTTTCCGCATCTGCACCCGGGGAGTGGTGTGGGGGCTCAGAGGCTCGGGTTTGTTGTGGGCGTTAACTGATCAGTTTTAATTCGGACCCCATGCTTTCGTCCTTGGTTCAGGAAGTCCTTATCTAGCTGCATATCTTCATCATATTGGTATATCCTTTTCTGTGTTTACAGAGATGTCTCTTATATCTAAATCTGTCCAACTGAGAAGTACCTTATCAAAGTAGCAAACGAGACAGCAGTCTTATGCTTCCAGAAACACTCACAAGCACGTCCTGTGTGAGCTGCTGCCATGAACTGTCAAGTGTGTGTTGTCTCGTGTATTTCAGTTCTTATCCCCTGGCTTCCTTACTGCAGTGTAACCATGAAGGAGTGAAACATCTTAGAAACCGTCTAGCACTTCCTTGCCAGTCCTTAGTGATCAGGAACCATAGTCGACAGTTCCAATCAGTAGCTTAAGAAAAAAACCATTTCTGTCTCTTCCAGAGTGGTTAGAAGCAAGGGAGTTTGCACTGTTCTGTTTGTAGTCGTAGTTGGCTTTTCTGGCTCTTTTTGTATCCATTTGCTGATGCGGCAAAAGCAAGTCCCACAACCAAACCCGCTCTGTTACCGACCCTCCAGGCTTCACGTCTGATGCCTCCCCAGGGAGGGACGGGGGGTTGGAGGAGGGGGTGAGTCCTTTGGGACCAACTCTTCCTCCAAGGACAAAAGGCCCCTGACCTTGCAGTGGCTTGCATTCCTGGCACCCCCGAAGAACTCCTATCCACACGAGCACGGTGTCCAACCAGTTTGTTGTGGAGACCCCATCTGGTTTGGTCGGTCAGGTTTTTAGGCTTCATGCTTTTAGTCCAGTAAAATGTAGCTCCTGGGACCAGTATCAAGAGATGGCCTCCCCATTGGCTTGGTACCATCGGATCCTGGGGCAAGGAGAGCTGGGTCTGCCGTGGCCCTTTCCCCTGTGACAGTTCATTCTGGGGCTGACTGGGCGTTGGTGGTCGAGAACCCAGAATTGCCAGTGGCATTTCCTTTCTGCCCTGCCTGCAGCATCCTGGCTCCGCAGCTTCTTCCCCTAGAGTTTCCAGGCTGCAGGTGGCGCCTGAGGCACTGTAGGGTTTTCTCCATTTCCCCCCTTCCTTCTTCCACATTCCTTCTTCCCCCAGATAGAGGCGTCGCTGGTGAGTCACCTTTGGGCGGGGGCCCTGCAGCTCCCATTCCGCCTCTGCCCAGGAATCAGGTTGACGGGAAGTCAGAGCGAAAGCCTGAGCCACAGAAGCCTTAGCAGCTGTGCCAGGCCCAGTTTGGGGCTGTGCCCTCGGCCGTGTGTGCCTAAAGACCAGGGAGATTGGGGGCACCTCCTAGGGACTATGTCAGGAAGGCGAGACTTGACCAACAGCTTGCAGATGCCCACGGGGCTAGGTCACAGAGTCATGTTCAGATCCCCCGCCCTCATTCTGGTCATTAGTTGCTACCTCCTCTCCTGACAGAATTCCAGCCATCCTCGAACTCCTCCCACTGGGCCCTGCCCACTGGGGGCCCGTCCTCAGCAGTGTGGTTGCTGGCCTTGGCATTGCAGTGAACTGGAGACACGGCCACAGCCAGGTTCTAGTACAGCTCTCTTCTGCTGGTGCTGTATTCCCATAGCAAAAGGCACAGGAGACACCCAGACATGCCATGTCCCCCAGTCCATCAGTGCCAGACTAGCCAAGGACCCCTCCCCTCAGCTCCCGGGAGGGTGAAAGCTGAAGTGCTGGCCCGGGGATGCTGGCCACGGCCAGCACCTGACCTCCACTCCTGAGACCCCAGGGAGATGGCATCAGCCTGTTAGGTGGTGTCATGCCAGGCTAGAGGCCACGAAAGCTGGCAGTGGGATCTGGAGCAGCCCAGAGTTGTTGCCTGCCCTCTGCCTAGCTTGTCATTGCTGTGACAGCTGTCAGGAAAGAGGGTACTAGCTGGAAACAAGCCGCCATGTTTGGTGGGAAAGGAGCTTCCTTAGCTGACAGGACCTCCAAGTTTTAAGTAACTTTTAATAAGTGGCTCAAGCCCAGGAGGGAAGAGTGTGAACTGAATACACCAGGTGGAGCCTGGCAGCTGAGCTCTGTGCCCCCTTTCCAGAGCGTTCCTGCCAGGCTCTGTGGGCTGACGGGGCTGGGGAAGTCACGGGTACCAGTTCTGAGAGAGAGAGCACCTCTGTGTCTCCACTGCTGGCCGGGGTCCTTGCCGCACATTGTTTCCTGATGTGAGTTTCACACAAGGATGGCCGGGGTCATCCAGACCTCGGGAAGTAAGCAAGCTGGGTCGAGAGCCCCAGGGGCGTTTGCCTAGGCTGGGGCTTGGGGTGCCCCGCGGCCCCGCCACATCATACCCGGCGCTCACTGCTCTCTGTCAGTGAACCCGTCCACCGAGGGGTTTGTGGAGTCTCCGTTTCTGCATATTCCTCTTGTAGATGTTGTCTCAGTCTTTAGAAAAGGCACAGTCTAATTGTTACAAATCGCTAGGATACTGACCCCCAGGGTCTAATGTTCCATGTGAAAGGGGAAAAAAGTGAACACTGAAACCCCTTGTCAACAATTCAGAAGGAAAACCTAGAAAACATTTAGCAGAGAACTACATTTCAATGTTTCTGAATGAGTAAGAGCAAGCTTTTGCAAAAATGCCGATGTAAAAATACTTGGAGCCTGACCTGATGTGTGGTGAGCGCTGCAAATTAAGGGGAATCCAGCCAGAAAGTGCTGGATCTGACTTGGGGCCATCCTGTCACTGGAGAGCCCATCTCGCCTTGGGGAGCAGTCCACCCCTGTCCTGTGGGGAGGTCTGCCTGCCTTGCCACCGCAGGAGCCCAGGTCTGAGTGTGGGAAGGAGAGTGCTCACAAGTGAGTCTGAAAGCCAGCAACTTTCTCCCTCCCCAGCGCCACCTGTTTCTGGCTCCTTTCTCATTTCGACAGGGCCTGCCCCAAGTGCTGACTTGTCAGGAAAAGTGAATTCTAACTGGGGCCCAGGCAACTAGTAGGGAGAGGGTGATGTCTCCTCCCAGTCTCTGCCCTGAGGACAGGCCCCTGCCCTGCTCTCTGTTGGGCCCAGGTGGAGTGGCACTCCTTCTCAGCTCGGAGGTGAAGACAGGCCTGAGCACTCACTGTGGGGTGTGACCCCCCGCTCGCCCGTCCCCTGTGGGAGCCCCTGGAGCAGAGGGAGGGCAGAGTTGAGACCCTCATGGAGGGAAATCTGGCTTTGAGTTTCAGAACATTCAGGAAACTTGCAAATTGCCTTTGCTCTGCTAGCTCCTCCCTTTGATCTACCTGTCCTCAGGTCTTGCTCAGCAGTGAGAGAAAATGAGATCAAAAGGCCAAGAGGTTTGGCTCCTGCCCACTGGTAGTCCTTCTTCCCACAGTGTTTGTGTGTCAAGTGACAAAGCTGTTCTTCCTGGTGACCCTGATTATACCCAGTATCTTATAGACTATACGCATAGGCCTGCTTGGTCTCTTCTATCCTGGGCGTTTGTTTCGCTTTTTAGTTTTGCTTTTAGTTCTTCTGTCCCTTTTATTTAACACACCGACTAGACACACAAAGCAGTTGAATTTTTATATATATATATCTGTATATTGCACAATTATAAACTCATTTTGCTTGTGGCTCCACACAAAAAAGACCTAGTTAAAATTATACCTGTTGCTTAATTACAATATTTCTGATAACCATAGCATAGGACAAGGGAAAATTTAAAAAAAAACAAAAAACAAAAACAACTAAAAAAAAACGACAAACCTGTCTGCTGGTCACTTCTGTCCAGGCAGATGCGTGGTCTTTCCTCGCTTCTTTCAAGGGCTTCCCTGTGCCAAGCGAAGGAGGCTCCAGGCAGCACCTGGGTTTTGCACTGTTTCTCCCAAGCTTGAGAGAGAGGCCCCAGGGTGCTGGTGCAAGATAGTTCGTTTCAACGGGTGGGCGCAAGAGTGCTCCCTTGCCCTGGCGAAGCCAGGAATGTCATTGGCACCACCTGGTCCCCTTCGATCCTGGGTGGGGCAGCTGGAGTACCTGGGGGTGGCCTGACCCCCACCCTGACCCCTTCCAGTGACCCCTTCAGAGTGATCCTGTTTGGAGAGTCGGCTCAGCAGGCCTCCCCACCAGCAGGGCTCCTGCTTTGCAGAGTCCGGGGTTGGAGGGGAGATGGAAGGCCTTGTCTCATCTCTGAAAGTGTGAGCTGCACCAGGTAGTACACCAGGGACCCCAGAACCACATAGGAGGTCCAGTGGGTCCCCTCCAAGAGGTAGCAAAGACTCCAGAAACATCCCTTCCTCTTCTCCCCATCCTACGAGTAATTGCATTTGCTTTTGTAATTCTTAATGAGCAATATCTGCTAGAGTTTAGCCGTAACAGTTCTTTTTGATCGTTTTTTTAAGTAATTAAAAACACCAAAAAAAAATCCAGAAACTTGTTCTTCCAAAGCAGAGAGCATTATAATCACCAGGGCCAAAAGCTTCCCTCCCTGCGTCATGACTTCTGAGGCCTGAATCCAAAAGAGAAACACTCGCAGGCCCTTTGGGTGGCCAGGCTGCCCGCGGGCCCCTCGGAGAACCTGGGCTGGGGCAGCCTCCGGGCCCGGTCTGGGGTCTCACGCCAGCCTTCGTTCAGTATTAGCAGTGGGGCCACAGCCTCCTGGCCCGCCCAGCCGGGGCGGGGGCGGAGGAGGCTGCTGCGAGGCCTCCCCCAGGTGGGTGTCTGCACCAGTCCGCAGGCGTGCTTTCCGACTGAAACCTGAAATCAGCGCTGAGTTAGCCTCACCCGGTGACCTCTCGCCCCGCCCGGACGGAGCAGGGCCCACCCAGTTCAGTGTTTCTGGGGAGCTGGACGGTGGAGTGCGAAAGGCTTGCAGAACTCGAAGCCTGCTCCTTCCCTTGCCACCAAGGCCTCCTTTTCCGTTTGAGTTGTCACTGCTTCAATCAATAACAGCCGCTCCAGAGTCAGTAGTTGATGAATATATGACCAAATATCACCAGGACTGTTACTCAATGTGTGCCGAGCCCTTTCCTCGCGCTGGGCTCCCGCGTACCCGGACACTGTACCGTGTGCTGTGTTTGCTCCCCACCCCCTTCGCCCTCCCTTTGTCTCTCTGGGGTTTTTCTGTTTGGGTTTGGTTTGGTTTTTATTTCCCCTTTTGTGTTCCAAACATGAGGTTCTCTCTACTGGTCCTCTTAACTGTGGTGTTGAGGCTTATATTTGTGTAATTTTTGGTGGGTGAAAGGAACTCTGCTAAGTAAATCTCTTCTGTGTTTGAACTGAAGTCTGTATTGTAACTATGTTTAAAGTAATTGTTCCAGAGACAAATGCTTCTAGACACCTTTTCTTTACAAACAAAAGAATTCGGAGAGCGGGATGGTAACTGAGATGAGAGGGGCTGTCCTTTTTCCCCAGGAGGGGAGATCCAAAGACAGGACCCCTGCCTATATCAGCTGGAAGCCACCCAAAGACACTAAGCCTAAAGCCAATGGGCCGAATAGCTGATGTGTTGCCATTTTCGAAGTCAGAGCAAAACCAGGTTTTGTTCCACTCAGTGAATTCTTTTGCCCACCCCCCCTCAGATTCTTAGCATCATTATTATTTTTTAAGGACAGACAAGACATGTTCCTGCAAGGGGAGCCAGGACGTGTGTGAGCAGAGCAGCCTTGCCTGGGTAGGGGAAGTTTGGGGCGGGCCTGAGCGGTGTGGCTCAGACAAAGGATAGGCATCTCCCTGAAGACCCTGCTGTGGCCGGAGGTCAGGTATACATTGACAGGGCATTACCATGCAGGGTGGGCATTACTGTTCAGGGCACCCCCATCCCATCCCACCCTGTCCCGCAGTGCACAACACTAACGTCACCTCTCCATTCCCCACTTGCCCGGATGATAAGATGGTGGTGGAGGGATAGCCCCCACTTCGCCGTCATCTAATCCCCAGCAAAATTCCGACATGAGAAACCCCCTTATTTTTTCATGGCAAAACCAGACCCATCTCAGAGAAGCCGTTACCTCCCAGACATTGTTTGGGGCTGATGGTACAGGGACAGGTGTGTGCTCCCTTAGTGCCCGGAGGCTCCTCCGCTGACAGGCGAGGACAGTGCTGACTGTGGTGACCGTTTGCATGTGGGATTTAGTTGCAGGAAGGACCAGGCCGGGACGCTGCCCCCTCCCAGGTCGCAGCGACACAGGTCGCCCTGTGCAGAGGGAGCTGGCTCCAGCCCAGAAGCCTGGAAGCCCGAAAGAGGGCGGGAGAGGTGTGCGTGGGGCGCGAGGAGCCGCCCGGGACAGACTTGGCTGGAGATGTCTCAGAGAGCCCTCTGTCGCACTCACCTTCAGTTTTTGTGTTTTGGGACAATTACTTTAGAAAAATAAGTAGGTCGTTTTAAAAACAAAAAATACTGATTGCTTTTTTGTAGTGTTCAAAAAAAAGGTTCTTTGTGTATAGCCAAATGACTGAAAGCACTGATATATTTAAAAACAAAAGGCAATTTATTAAGGAAATTTGTACCATTTCAGTAAACCTGTCTGAATGTACCTGTATACGTTTCAAAAACACCCCCCACTGAATCCCTGTAACCTATTTATTATATAAAGAGTTTGCCTTATAAATTTACATAAAAATGTCCGTTTGTGTCTTTTGTTGTAAAATCAAGTGATTTTTTCATAAGGTTCTTTTACTATTTGAAAAGATGGGCAGCACGCAGTTTTATTTTATTTTTGTAAGTTTTTTAATACGTGTGAAAGCCAAGAATACTCAGCATGCCTTTCTAAGTGACGCGTTTGCACCTTTTGTTGGGAAGTACTGTATCCTGTGCTGTTAGCATTCTCGATAAATCTCTCTGTGAAAGTGACTCAAGGTCTGGGCTTTCATTATCAGACAGCTCACAGGACAGCATGGTGGTGTTTCCTGATTCGCTCTGGCGGTCCCTGAGCACAAATGAGCCAGCTTTTGGGACTGCCACGGCGGAAAGGGCAGCCCGCTCTGGCCCCCCTTTGGGCATGTGGTGCCGGACGTCCAGAAGCAGGCAGGCTGCAGCTTCCCTATTCCTGAGGCCACAGTAGGGGCGTCTCCTTGCTCTGGACGTGCAGCATGTGCCGAGGTGCTTTTGGAAACACTCCACCCCACCCCCAGCTCGGGCTCCTCCTGGACCTACTGCCTGAGACCTTCCCATGGCCTCCCCTGACCTGGCTCCCTGCCCGAAGGGGTCGCCGTCGTCACTGGGGTTTGCCGGCCTTGTCACACCCGGCCTGTGCTCCCTGGCTTCCCAGAAGGCTGCAGGCTCTCAGGAGCTGCCAGCCCTGCCACAGCCATCTTCCAGTTGGCTGTTGATGGGCTGGAGGGGACACAACCGACTGCTCAGAGTCCAGCATCACACGCAAATGTGGACACACCTACTAGAAGGTGCGCTGGAAAGTCCTGGCCTTGAACGTTAAAACAAAGGGTTGAAATTCAACATGTGTGTGTACTGAGCGTTCTTCGTGTCCCAGGGCTGTCCCAGGAGCTGCAGTCCAGCAGTGAGCAAGTAGGACCAAGTCCCTGTTCCCTGAGAGCTTAGTGCATGTGTATGCACATGATAATTTCCCAGACTCGGGTTGTAGTCTCACTAAGGGGTGTCCCTGTGGGAAGCCACTGGGGCTTAGTGTGGCTGGCCTCCTGTTTGGGAGTGGCTGGCAATGGCTGCAACTTCTGGGAAGAGGCTCCAGTGGAGGCCTGTCTGGGGCAGACCTAGTTTCTGGAAACAGCACTACATCTGTCAAGGTGGACAGCAATGTGGGGAGGGGAGGAGACAGCCCTCTGGGGTCAGGCTAGAGAGGGCAAGGGGGTGATCAGGGAAGAAGACCTGTTGCCTTTCAAGCAAGCATCCAGTTGGAGAAAGAGGAAGGCACCCTTGCTGCTTTTGAGGCGGGGGTGTCTTCCTCCATCTGGTGGGGGAGGCAGACAAATGCGAAGGTGGAGAAGGGTGCACCAGAGATGCCAGGTGAGGCAAGGGCTGTGGGCAACTCGGCTTCTGGGGCCTAGGGAGCTCTCACCCTAGTTTCCACCTGAGGAACTGTTTGAGCTCAACCTTGTTGCCTGAGGGCCTTGGAGCTACAGTTGCAAACTCATGGGTGCAGGAGCCCTGGTGTCTGGGAACCCTGGGGCATTCTGGATGGCTCAAGGCTGCTGAGGTGTGCAGAGAGCTAGACAGAGATGGGCGGGAAGGGGCCACATTGTGACAACAGTGGAGGCTGTGCAGAAGAGCTGGGATCCCACTGGAGGGCTTCAGGAACGACAGGAGGGTCTTAAGCAGGAAAGTGATGTGGCTTGATTTGTGCCCAAGGAAGACCAACACCAGGGCAGGGATGAGGCCTGGAAGCCGTCAGGAAGCCAGCAGGTTCATCCCGGCAAGAGGTGGTAGTGAGGGCAGTGGGCCTGTGGGGATGAGATGGACTCCAGAGAAGTCCAGGGAGGTGACAGGACAACAGTGGCTGCTGATGGCGGAGTAGGGAATGGGCGAGAGAGACCAGTGTGGGGAGATGTCAAATAGGCAGGGAACAGAGCTTGGTGCCTGGTGACTGCTTCAGAAAAGTGGGTGGGAGCGGCCGGCCTCTGCTGTCTTCACAGGGGTAGTGCAAACTGAGTGCGACAAGAGGGAGGAGGGGCAGCAGGAGCTGAAGGCCTGTTTTAATTTAAGGGACGTAAACACGTTTTACGTGCTGCTGGGAAAGAGCCAGCAAAGAAGGAAAAGTAACAGATATTGCAAAGAGCTATCAACTGCTGGAGCAGGTTCCTGAAGGAGCAGAAAAGATGGGATTCGGGCACAGTAGGTGGGTGCAAATGCTCTGAGCTGGAGTGACCTGCTGGAAAGCTTCCAGACCTTTCTTCCTGCACCCAGCCTCCCTGCCAGCTGACCGCAGTCAGCCAGGAGCCTTTGCATGACCGACATCTGACCCTGTCCTGCCCGGATCTCTTGACCACTCTCCGCTGCCTCCCAAATAAAACCAAAACTTCTTCAGGGGACCTCCTACTGACTCGCGTAAG